TGCCGCCTCTCAAATGGTACCCTTCTCACCGATGAGGTAAGATTTGTGCTGATACTGTAACAATATTCAACCCTGCCTCCCTTGTAGAAATGTCGATGGTCTGTCAAATAAGTATACTGATAATCTTTATCAGTATGCACCCCGACCGACATGCTCAGCTGGTCAACCTGAATGCGGATCAAGGTAAGACGTTTCACATATTTTATGCAATGCGACATAAAAGATGCATTTTGTTCAAAATATAAACAATAAATATAAAAAATGATAGAGAACAGATAATAGTAGAAAAGTTCCATGGAAAATAATGATTGAAGGACTCAGAATGCACCTTTCTTTAGGTTCTTGTTTTGCGATTTCACCCATGGGGCACCGAAATGTGTATCTCGATTGAAGCCGGGGTCTCAGTGCACTGGATATGCTCGAGGAGAAAATCCTTGCTACATGGGTCAATGCCAAGGAGGACGTTGCGTCGCAGGGGTCAGTTATAGTCTCTCAAACTTCCAGAAGCAAATCCCATAAAATCATCATTCAATCATATAGTAACGGTTCTCAAAGACTTTCAGAAATTAGCTGTTGTAGGCTCCAATAGTGGCACCTCAACCGACCCCAATGGTAACCACAGCGCCTGTTGTAATGGCAACGCAGGTAGACTCATTTCTCTGAGACGGGCAACGATTTTCTTTGCTTCCTTAGGAAACCTGCTACAATGAAGACGAGTGTTGTGGTCCATGGGCTGCTAATGGAGAATGTACGAGAAACGCTGCCTACATGACTGAATGGTGCAAAGCAAGCTGTGGCCATTGTCATCCACAATATAGGCTCGCTGACGGTTAGTGTTACTTCCACTTAACTGCATTTTGACTTTGCTTTCATAAAGAGGTATGTTTGAAGAGAATGCTATAGTTGTTCATGAGTGATATTTGGATCGAGCAGAAAAGAAATGGACTCAAATGGATCTAACTGTAAATCGCTTTATCCATGTTCATGTAAGGTGCTTCTAAGGACCGCAGCGGCTTTGCGCGTCAGGCTGCGTTTATACTCCACGCGTGCCGATGTCGGCACTGTCACGGAACATCTAAGGCTTCGGCTGGACCTCCGATTTACCTATGCGTCTCTCACCAGTTTTGCCATTCAGCCAAAAGTCTCATTTTGCTCGCTTCCATTTGGTAGACATGGGCTGTTCGAACTTATTTTGTTTTTGTACTTACAAGGAAGGATAATCGAAGCTTTATAGATTGCTCCGATCGCCATCCGAACTGTGCTTCGTGGACGCAACAAGGTGAATGCACAAGGAATGCGAAATGGATGGGAGAAAATTGCAGAAAATCTTGCAATCGTTGTGGACAAACCAGGGCAGCTGCTTGTGCAGCAGGCGGTAGAGGTGGCCAATTTCTGTTTATAGAGTCTACATTACTACAAGTGGTCTATTTTCTTGATTTCAGCCACACAACAAGCGCAGCAATCCAACCAGATCGTATGCGAAAATTCGGACGGTTGCTACAATGAAAATGTTTGTTGTCCCCACTGGGCTCTATACGGCGAATGCCGAAAGTCTTCCGCATGGATGGCCTGTAATTGTAGGGTGTCATGCGGCCACTGCTACCCAGAGGATTATGTTTATGGATGTGAGAGATGCCCGAAGTTGAGACTTAGTTTATTATTGATGTTTGCATTTCCAGCTTGCTCCGATTATCACCGAGAATGCGCTGGATGGGCTCGACTGGGCGAATGCGAGAAGAATCCGTGGATGTCAGAAAACTGCAGAGCTTCATGCAGGACTTGCTACTCGCAATGGGATCTTCGAGATATGTGCAGAGGAGCAGTAGGTGGGCGCAACCGACCCACAATCTTTCGATCATCGAGACATTCTCTCCAGGATCCGTAGCACCTGTGGCGCAAAGGCGTCCGCAGCAGCAGCCGACCCGTGTCCAATTTGATCCGTTTGGAGGCTTTGGTGGTTTTGACGACCGCTGGGGCATGGGATGGGGTGATGGTTTAGGTGGCGGACGAAGAGGTGGACGAGGCAGAGGAGGCTGGGGAGGCCCACCACAGACATTCGGCGGCTGGGGTTGGCAGAGAGCAAAGAGGAACCGTTTCCCTAGAAAATAATCCTTTCCAAAAAATGCCCAATGATGGGTAGTGCCTACATTTCTGCTATACATCTTATGAGCTGATTGTTACGATTCCAAGTTTTACAAACTGTAACGAGTACATGTATCCCTTTGACAGGGTGCTTTCCTCCATTCACTTAGTATGATATAATTGAATGCATGCTCTAATTATTAATCGGTACTTTACATGTTATACATGTTTGCTTATGAAGAATGTCGCAATAAAGTTTGTTTGAACTACATATGAAAAACCACAAAATTCCGATTTTTAGAAACTAAACTTTGCGTTTTGTAAAAATTAGACCCGGAAGGCCGAATAGAAGACTTCCAGGCTTGTCTCAAAAATGCAAATAAAGTGTCAAATGCCTCATGCCGCGTAATTAGGTTGGAAACTAAATTTTGCAACTGCCTTCATAACTTTCCTGTCATTAAATATGGCGCAGTCAAACTTTGGTAGTATGTAGATC